GCTCATCAGTGTGTACCCCAGCTTTCCCTATCTGCTTTCTGGTTGATATACCAGTTTTGAAGGTTCAGCTTTTTAATCTCCTGAGAAATTAATTTCTGTTCGCCGTATACATCAGCATATGTAAGGTCTATAGACATAGACGGAATCTGGGAGTGTGTATTTGGCCTGAAACCCGTCAACCACTGCGATAGAGTTTACCTAATTGGGAACACTTAGTTTTCTTACGAGCCTGCCGAACGTTGCTGTGGCTTACGAGTCTGACTAAGGAAGGAGACGACCCGAATAGGCCCAGGCCGCCTATGGGAATTATTTGTGTGTGGAGGGAATTTTACGGTTATTTCAGGAGCTGTCAGGTTCAAGGACACACGCCGACAGCCCTCGTCTGGTTTAGCCCGACGTTCAAGGACGGTTACTGTGGTGTGGTCGCCATGCAGCCTACCTTTGTACGAAGTATAAAATATAAGTTTTTGCCAATTTCATGGATGCCTTTGATTGGTTTCCTCCAGTTTGTTGCTTACGTGGACCTGCTAAGACTGTAGTCGTGCCTGGTCTATCTGACCTATATCACATTGCCTTTTTTCGTCTTCAATCGGGACAATTCGCGGCTGTGTAGCTTCGTAAAAAATTGTCGTGCAACGTCCTTCCAACCGCCCCGACGGTTGACCGTACAAACGAAACGTGGATTTCCACTCATGATAAGTTTTACGGCCCGTGGAATGGTAGTAAATAAAGACGAAACATCTGGAAATCAAATGGTTTTCCAATTGGGCTTATCATTTCCGGTTAAATCACTGGGTTCAAGTGTCTCATAAACTACTCTGTGCCGGTTTGCGTTTAACCATTTCAGTTTTTTGACGGACCGCTTTATAATTGACTCATTTCTAATATCGGTTGAATAAAGAGGTCATGTTTGTAAATTCTTGGGAGACCACAAAGCCCTGGGGTGTATTTGACAGTGGCAGACTCGGATTCATATTCCCTGAGGGAGCCTTTGTCTTTCATTTTCCTCTGAGACACCATAATTTGGATCTCTTAGAGCTCGTTTTGGTCCTCATTTCGCGCTTTCCTTACGATATTATTTTCATCAGTTAGGCTTGACTCACTTTTGAGACGTAACTACAGTTCTTTATCCGGACAAGTGCAGAACCCCTGTTGGGCTTCGTTATGAGTACTTCCTTCTTCTGGCCCAGTTCTAAGAATTTAGTAAGATGGGCTATCCAAGTGAATGCGAGAGCACCATTCTGTTTGATTACACCAAAACATAGGGAAGTTCATCTCTAGTGCATTTTGACAGCGGCCATTCAGTAGATGCCAACGAAACCTCCCAAGCCATCAACAAAATGCCCCAGAAACACTTCCTTCCTATGCGGAGGGAAACTTTTTATGACAGAGGCGACCTCCAGTCCGGTCCTTTGGTCTTTGAATACGTTCATTCAGGTCCTTTAGCTGCTATGACCCAAACCAAACCCCTCCTGCACACCTTTTACCGAAAAATACAAGTTAGCATTTCTGACAGCCTCTCGCTTTCACATGACCGAAAATGTCGAACGTACTTTTCCCTTACAGTTAATATGTTCAAGCCTCCCTCTGCTCCATCACCCTTGCCAGTGTCAGCTTTTCACCTTTCACTATCATATCTTGACACATATTTTTGTACGGGCTTTATGACGAATAATCAATAGTGCACTTACCGACTGTAATTCTTTTAAAACACCCTTCAAAATCATTGGTTGCATTGCCCTTTGTATTTTCTTCGCCTGCATCTTATAACTTTGATTTTGTAGTCGGTCATATGCCTCAAGCATTGATGTCGGTTCTCTAGCATGTCACGTCAACTGTGTTTCGCATTTAATTCTGAGGTTTGTCTCAATGTGGTGAATCTATGCAGTTATCCTAGCTACTGGAGGACCATGGCCAAGAGCAAAATTTTGAGATGGCCAAAGCGAAAGTTTATGCTTCTTCCGCTGCTGAGGTTGATCCAGGTTCGAAAAAAATAATGTTTACATCCGACGTGTGTCCGGAAATGACACACATGGTGATTAAAGCCAAGACAGGTTAAGTTTTTTTCCTCGCTATTAACCATATTTTGTAGATTTCCCAGATTTATGGCCCCATACGATTGATGAGTACAGTGTGGCCGAATTAATATTCAAATTGAAGTCTGAATGTCTGGCCCTTGCGATGGAAAATGAAAATCTCAGAAAAACGTTTCCGGATCGGCAGAAGTGAGTTTTAGGTGACTCTTTTATTCTAACTTCTCTGTATTTCATCTTGATGACTCATGCCACACACCCGGCCTAATTCTTTTTTTGACAACGAAACCTTTGCAGGGTACTAGCAGCCCATTCCCCTCAATGCTTTGGCAGCTTTGGCACTAAACGCATGGCAAGATTTATCTCAAGTATCGTATGCTGCTTACTCCTAATGATAAACCAGCGACGTGCTCTGTGATGCAACGCCCTTGGCGATTTTGATCTCTAAACCTTTTCTGTAGTAACCCTGAACGGGCCATGACCCAACACAACCAACCTTTACACACCGCCTGGAAGTATCTGATTAACGGCACTTGCACTCCACTGTACGTCCTTTTTTCAATCACTTTTCCAAAAATACGTCGTGCAGGAACTCACCCCGTCCACTGTACCCCAATTATTGCCTGAGATGTTATGGCTACGCACATAACATCTACATAAAGGTTACATCGTTCAGGATTTCTCAGCGTCCGAACCCAATCCTGACTAACGGTGACCCAGTGGATCCGACGAACGCTGCACCCAACCGCATCCCTGGCCTCCTTTTGGTCTGCGGAATTAGTGCGCCGACTAGGACAAATGTGCTCTTGACTCTGCCGCCGCTCGACCATTCACTATTCATGATATTGTGAA